GGTGGGGTAGGTAAGTTTCAGAAACCGGCTCGAGATACACTTTTTGTTATATTCCATGGAATGCTCTTAGCATCCCGATAGCAATGAATATCTTCAAAGCATATCAAAGTGCTTTGACAAAAAATCCATAAAAAAATGTCATCTGTGGAACCCGTAATACTGTAAAAAGTATATCCAATCCGTTTAGCCGGCCCGGCTAAACGGATTGGATTGCCGCCCTGTCTGTCAGCCTTCCATCTCGTGCACGCACAAATGTATCTCGTGCCCTCATTGGGCGTGCATTGCGCGTTCATGTGTGTTGGAGGAGGTGCTCTGTAAGGAAGTCTGAAGGAAGGGGCGGATTCTTTTCGGCTGTGTACTTTCAAATTTTAGTGCACTCGAGCCGGTTTCTGAAACTTACCTACCCCACCTTTAACATCAAAAAGTTTAAGGTCATCCACGTTTTTAAGTCCTTGAGGCAGTCTTGAATTGTATTTAGATGATTGGTTTCATCAGGCTTGATGGATAAATATAGTTGAGTATCATCCGCATAACAATGAAAATGTACAGAGTGATTCCTTATAATATTGCCTAACGGAAGCATATATAATGTGAACAAAATAGGTCCAAGCACTGGTCGAGATGGGCGAGCCGGGAGATGAGGAAGGGCCATTGCGGTTCTCCCTTCCGTGGGGCCAGATGGCCCCGGTCCCAGAGGAGGATGCCTCATTGTCCGGTGGTCCGACTCTCAGGTCTGCGCGGCTGAATTTTCCAGTGGTGATGACCCTGGCGGCGGAGCGCGTAGGCCTACCGCTCCCCCCACCGCTGCCACCGAGGCCTGTAAGCCGCCTGAGACAGGGGTTTTACGGCCCGGTGCATCCGGCCTTCGTTTCGCCCCCTTTGCCAGACATCTGGCAGTGTGTGGAGGCAACATGGCATATTGGCATCCGGTCTTCTCTTGAAATGTCAGATATACTGTCGACTGTGCTTGGTGATGAAAAGCTGGTACGAGGGGCCCCCAGTGAATGTTTGCCTCGGGCCCCCACAGACTCTAGAATCGCCACTGCCCCTAATAATTGTGCACACAGTGTCTGAGCTCTCCAGCAGTAACAGAGAGTCAGTGAACTGACCTGAGAGTCTCCAGTCTGCAGTCTGGACTCTCCAGAAGATCTCTCAGCAGCTTCACTCCTGAATCCTGCAGATCGTTGTTACTCAGGTCCAGATCTCTTAGATGGGAGGGGTTGGACTTCAGAGCTGAGGCCAGAGCAGCACAGCTGATCTCTGACAAACTGCAGCTCCTCAATCTGAATAACAAAAAACATAGTGAGGATACAAATCTTTTTATAATCCAGTCAGATGTTCAGGTCTGAAATGTGTAGCTCAACATTACTGCGTCCTAATCAATTAACTTTTCCCTGAATTACAGTGACTGTCATTTTGTTATTGTGGATCATCATTATATCAGCGTTCTGTTTATTAGGGCCCGAGCAAGAAAGCGCTATGACCCAACGGCGTCCTAGCACGAAGTGCGAGGAACCTATTGTTATTGTAGGAATTATTCTTCACTATTCTTCCCGTTCTTAGAACCAATTTTTGAGGGCCTTAGGACGCTTCAAAAGTTGTATAATTTTGCACGGACGTCAGGACTGGTGAAAAATGTGACATTCTGGAGTCAATGGGTTAAAATATTCCAATGTGCTCGCTAGCGTCACCTATGAAAGTCGCTTTTTGTAAAAATGTAAAAAGTCGCACCGCAACTCAGAATTACCTGAAATGTTCCACACTTATCCGGGTGGACCTGCTCTACATATAATCCTCTTGAACCCCTAAGATCCGCCTACTTAATTTTAGCTTTAAATTGAGCATAATGTTCAAAACCGTGAAATATCCACTTACATTTCAATTATTTGTTTTTCGACACCAAACTTAGTATACAGCATTGGTGGAGGGTCACACACATTACCCTAGCAAATGAGTATGTTCAGTCGATAAATATGGCAGCCATTAATCAAAAGGTATTTGCAAAAAGGCGGGGCTTGGAAAGAAATGCTCATAACTCATCAACAATGTATCCAAATATCACAGATTTTAGTGGATAGGTTCAATCTGTCTTGGGGAATAGGCACACCAAATAATTGTCATTTTGGACTATAGGGGGCGCCAACAACACCACAAATGTATAACTCAAGAACGGATGGATGAAATAATTTCCTCTTTTTTAGACATACTCTGGGGGTGAGTATGAACTGAGATTCAAAGTGATGCAACGAATGACGAATGTGGGCGTGGCCTATAACATTTTTTTTATTGTAATGCGCGTCGGACGCAAAACTTGGGACACACGTCACAGCCCACGACCTTTACGAGAATGCAAAAAAAATCAATCGTAATTGTTTGTTAAAACAGCTCAGTAGCGCTCCCTTATTGTGTGGTAGTCACATATAGTTTCTCCAAACTTCACACATTTTGGCACAGACATTCCTCATGGAATTGCGGACATATTTCAATTTGGCTTCCATTAGCCCCGCCCCCCAGAAAGTCGGCGACACCTTCAGCCCATATCCAATGTGATTCTAAATTGCGAAGAAATAGTCGATCGCTCAAACGGGGAGCTCGTAAGCTAACGGAGAATGTACAATTTTTTACGATTTACATATCACAAATTACTCCAAACTACTCGCATCTAGTTTTTCCGATATTCACGAAACGCTGTATACACATTGCTATTATGATTGCACACATATTTCAAATTGTCTTCCATTAGCCCCACCCCCCGGGAAGTCGGCCATTTTGAAAATGTGCGTTATTCATGCATTTTAAGCACATTTTTGCAAACTCCTCCGAGGGAAATGATTGGAAAAATTCCAATGCAGGACAAGTTCAGCCCATATCCACTGTGATACTAAATTGCGAAGGAATAGTCAATCGCTAAGTACAATTTTTGACCATTTATATGTCCGATAAGCTACTAAGACCGGCCTGTCTGCCTGGTGCATCAACTCACACACACACACACACACACACACACACACACACACACACACACACACACACACACACACACACACACACACACACACACACACACACACACACACACACACACACACACACACACACACACACACACACACACACACACCACACACACACACACACACACACACACACACACACAAACACACACACAGCCCTTGTACATTTTATTATGTGAAGCATTATATGGTTTCATGAAAAAGATCTACTGTTTATTTGTAGATATCTACTAAAGCATACAAATAAAGTTTGAAATGTAGGCCTGTTACATATATTATTGAGAAATATATATTATACACACTGTTCTGCTTTCTGCACTGACATCAGCAGCTGTTCTCACTGTAAACATCGCGTCACAATGGAAGCAGTTGTATTAAAAAAAAAAAACGGTAAAGGGCAGAAAGTCTGATTCACATTTGATCATCTTAAATAACTTATAATCACAACGGGAATAGCTTGCAGAGCTGTGCTTCGTTGAGCCATAAGTCCAGCCATGCGTCACGCCTCTTTTAAACATCACTGTTGCCTGAAATCGACACCGGAGGATACATCAGTGTACCCTCGGTTATAGCTCCTCCAGAGAGACTCCTCTCTCCTCTAAATCAGTGTATCCTCGGTTACAGCTCCTCCAGACAGCCTCCTCGATAATCGATCCTCGATGAGCCTTTAGAGAAATTTGTTTTCCTTCGAGACGGCGCGCTGACATCCGTTTCCGGGTCGCTGGAGGATCGAGGAGTCGAGCACGCGAAAATGAGAGAAATGACAAACGGTTAATTTGGGAGGACTCGTGTGCGTCGACTTGACGCCGGGACGACCGGCGACCCTCCCCGACAGGCGCAAAGACGAGAGGGCCCGTCCACAACTGCGCACGACTGTGACCGCAGTTTTAATTATCTGTGAAAACACGTCTAAAGGATGGGAACATAAACATTTCCATGTCAGAAAGTACACTTTATGTAACAACAATTACAAACGTATGGATGTAATATATTAATGTACAAGAATCGGGTTGAATAACTAAGGAAACATATGAGATTTCCAGCAGTAACAGAGAGTCAGTGAACTGACCTGAGAGTTTCCAGTCTGCAGTCTGGACTCTCCAGAAAATCTCTCAGCAGCTTCACTCCTGAATCTTTCAGCTTGTCGTTACTCAGGTCCAGATCTCTCAGACTGGAGGGTTCAGACTTCAGAGCTGAGGCCAGAGTAGGGCTGATCTCTGACAAACTGCATCTCTCCAGTCTGAATAAAGAAAACATGATAATACAAATTTAATTATAATCAGAGGTGTTGTCAGAATAAGTAAAGAAGCAGTGGTAACAATAAGAAAAACGTAAAGAGTAATATAGAAATATAAATATAAATATAGAATTCCAATAGAAATATATCGATGTATTTATTTTAAATGTGAAGCACACTGTAAAATATTACCATGATTTCGCAATATTTAGCTGTAATATTTTACAATAAATTACTGTTTTACCACTTTACAGTCTTTACCTGTAATGTTCACAATATAATACTGTAATTTTGAATTTCACAGTGAAATCAATGCAGGCACAGTTAATTACTGTGAATGTACAGGATAAATGATTACCAGGATTTCACAACATGTTACTGTATTATTTCACAGTAAAATACTGTATTCAGACCGTCCTCTGTGATAACACAATCAAATTAAGTGATTTTCTTGCTTTTATCGCTCTTGCTTGGCTTTAAATACTAATTTATTTCTTTGGTGCAGGTTTTACTTAAATTGAAAGGGGCACCGCTGCATGTGCCTTAAAATAAACTATGCAACATATACATCTATGTAAAATTGAAATTGTTGTCTTGGCTTATTGTTTCCAGGTGCTTCCTGGGCATTAACCCTGAGACAGGCTCGAAAGCCAAAAAGAGGCATGGCAATTTAAACCCCCATGTCAGCACATTCTTCAGAAAAGTGTTGACTTTGAGTGGATGTCTGTGTAGACATGTGTTCCCCTCTTTGTTTTATTTTCTGTCAGGTGCACCAGAGGCCTGTACTACGAAGCAGGATTTTCGCTTAGCGGGCTAACTTTAGGGAAAACTCTGGGTTTCCGGTCCTACGACGCTGGTTCTCTTCTTAGCGGGCTAGATCTCCATGGTAACTTATGCTGAGCGGCTAACCTGGGGCCTATACTACGAATCAGGATTTTCGTTTAGCAAGCTAATTTCAGGGATTTCCGGTCCTACGAAGCTGGTTCACTTTTTAGCGGGCTAGATAACTTATGCTGAGCGGCTAGCCTGCTCCGGAGCAGGATAGGTTCCAGGATAATAGGTCAACTCAGTGAAAGCACCGCCTGCTGACCAATCAGAGCTCAGTGTGCAGAGGAAATACAGTTTAAACTGCCGTTGCAGGAAAGACGGCCGGCCAAAATCACAGACTGTGTGAACGTGAAAATTAATAGAATATCACCTCCCATCTTCAGAGCAATCTGACTATTATAACTATTATACTATTATTATACTATTATGTTAAGAAAGCTTATCTGCCACAACATAAGTAACCGGATCAAAGTAACATTACGTAGCCTACAGTCCGCGGGTGGCACTGTGAGTGCAAACGTCGATGTGTCCCATTATCTTTCATATCACATCATAATGTATCATATATTTCCTTATCTGAGTGAGCTTATTGAGCCGTATCTGGCCGTGCAACACTCACAGTGTCACATACTGTATGCAGAAGTATTATTTTAAGCAGCACATTAAATTGACGAAACACTCGAGTCAAATGTAATTAAAGTCAGATCCACTCGTGTCTTAGACGGGGCATGAACAGGGGTGGACTGGGGGGAAAAAGTGGCCCGGGGATTAATTGACAGACAGGCCCACTTAATGCGCGGCATGTATCGGCCGGGCCGGCGACGAAAGTATGTTACTTAACAAAAAACCCTATGCATTTAATGTTATTTTGGACAATTCATATAGTAATCACATTACCTGAGCCCTTGAGTTGCCTAGAGCAAAATAGTTACAGCATATATTTAGTGATTTTAATGTTAACAGATCATTGATGCAATAACATTTTGACCCAATTTGCCTGACTTGACACATGGAATAAAACATGGGCGTAGGAAGCATCCTCAATGTGGGTGAGACAATTTAACAGGGGGTGTGGGCAGGTGGTGGACCTCACCTCCTCTAGGGGGGTCCGGGGGCAAGCTCCCCCGGGAAGATTTGTTTTTAAATGTTGAAGTTAAATGCATCAATCTGGTGCACTTTGAGAGCAAAATTAGGGACTAAATCTATGGCAGTCAGTAGGGGCTTGGACTGTGAGCCGTAGGGTCGCCGGTTCAAGTCCCCGACCAGTCCTACATTTGGAGTGTGGACTTCTACTTGGAGAGGTCCCAGTTCACATCCTGCCCTGCCGTGGTGCCCTTTGAGCAAGGCACCGGACATCCCCCTTCCCCCCTCACTCCCATTGCTCCCCGGGTACTGTACAATAGCTGCCCACTGCTCCTAGTACTAGACTCCTGGAACTAGGATGGGTTAAAAGCAGAGAACACATTTCACTGTGTGTGCTGTGTGCTCTGCATGTGTGACCATTAAAGAGGGTTTCATCCCTCCAATTCTTCTTCTTTTTTCTTATTCTTCTTCTTTTTCTTCTTCTTCTTCTTCTTCTCTTCTTCTTCTTCTTCTTCTTCTTCTTCTTCTTCTTCTTCTTCTTCTTTTCTTCTTCTTCTTTTCTTCTTCTTCTTCTTCTTCTTCTTCTTCTTCTTCTTCTCTTCTCTTCTTCTTCTTCTTCTTCTTCTTCTTCTTCTTCTTCTCTCTTCTTCTTTTCTTCCTTCTCTTCAACACCCATATAAAACAGAACTGTAAACAGATTTACTTTTTCTTTCAACATTTATTTGAACAGCAAGTGGAGGCAAAAGTGACTGCACCCAAAAACAATAAACCTGCTAGCTATAGCTTAAACTCAGTAACAGAATGTGGGCAACACGTTGTTCTCCACAGCCGCGCGACCTCTGAGTCAGACGTCACTTCCCCCTTTTCTATCTTACGGGTACAGCCACTCCCCCTGAACCCCGTTTCCCTGTCAACCCATTGAAACTGATAGATAGAACAAAGGTAGCCTATCAAAACGGCCCAGCCCTGCCCAGTGGGCCACACCCCACTGGGCTGGGCTGGAACACTTACAAATGTCGGCCGGTAGGATTTAGGTAAGCAAAAAAAAAAAAGGGAGTGGCCGAAACACAAAAAATGTATTTTTTATTTTTTTGGCCCTCCGGCCCACACACAGCACCGGCCCACCGGGGAAACTCCCGGTATTCCCAATGGCCAGTCCGCCCCTGGGCATGAACCTGTTAATGTAGTCATTCAAACACTTTTTCTTTTACCAGCTGTATTCACCTTGCAGGTGCAGCTATGTGGCTTGTATCCTGGATAAAGTTTTTAAGTCATGGATGTTTAAAGTTTAACTTCTCCATATTTGACTAATATTAAAGTTCACTTTTCATTCAGGAAGTTTGACGCTGCGCTGTCAGTACGCTTGCGGCTTGTCCATGTTTGTGATCGAATGCTCCAAATACCACCCCTTTCATGTGAACGTGCACCTAACTAGATAGGACACGGCTGGCTTGAGCGATCCACTTGATAACCCGCGTCGTAGGACCGCTTAGCGAGAGCGCGTATGTTTTGGATTAGGCCAACCGGCTAACTCAAACATATCCAGGTTAGGTTGAACCGGCTTCATAGTACTTCAAACTTTAAACATCCATGACTTAAACACTTTATCCAGGATATAAGCCACATAGCTGCACCTGCAAGGTGAATACAGCTGGTAAAAGAAAAAGTGTTTGAATGCGTACATTAACAGGTTTATGATATCACTGCCCCGTCTAAGACACGATCTGACTTTAATTACATTTGACTCGAGTGTTTCGTCAACTTAATGTGTTGCTTAAAATAATACTTCTGCATACAGTATGTGACATTGTGAGTGTTGCACGGCCAGATATGGCTCAAGAAGCTGACTCAGATAAGGAAATATATGATACATTATGATGTGATATGATATGATATGAATGATAATGGGACACATTGACGTCTGCACTCACAGTGCCGTGGACTGTACTTAATGTTACTTTGATCCGGTTACTTATGTTGTGGCAGATATTTAATTAAGCTTTCTTAATGCTAATGTTATAATAGTCAGATTGCTCTGAAGATTGGAGGTGATATTCTATTAATGTTCACGTTCACACAGTCGGTGATTTTTGCCGGCCGTCTTTCCTGCAACGGCAGTTTAAACTGTATTTCCTTTCTCCTGTATTATGACTTAATCGCTTTTAAACTCCGCACACTGAGCTCTGATTGGTCAGCAAGCGGTGCTTTCACTGAGTTGATCTCTTAGCCTGCAACCTAACCTGGTCCCGACCAGGTTAGCCGCACAGCATAAGTTACCATGGAGAGAGAGCCCGCTAAAAAGAGAACCAGCGTCGTAGGACCGGAAACCCAGAGTTTTCCCTGAAGTTAGCCCGCTAAGCGAAAATCCTGCTTTGTAGTACAGGCCTCAGGTAGTCCAGTTTTCGGGGCTTTATTTTGTTTCCCATAGGGTTTATAATTTATTTCTGGTTAGGGGGGGGGGCTCTGGGTCTTACGGCCCGTGGTGTGGCTGGCTCGGGTTCCCTCCTTCTGTTTGTTCCTTTTGGCCAGTCCTCCAGGCCTCCTTTTGTTTCCCGTTTCGCTTGTGTGAGCAAACGGCTGATTATCAATAAGTGCTTGTTACCAAGTACCGGTTATTGCGTGTATTCTTTCATGTTGCGGGTCTCAGCACGAGCCACTACAGCGGAGTAGAGGTTGGGGCCGTAACTTGTCCAAGACACTGTGAAATGTACTTTGCACTTCAATGGAGTAATACAAAGTTAAAATGGGCATTTTCTTTGTTTTTATTTGTTGATTGAGCTGATTGAATTGTGTAGTTATGGTAAAATCCCAGTTAACTAGTCAGATTTACAATATATTATCGTATTATTTACATTTTTATATTTACAGTAAATTACTGGCTAATGTGTTGCATTACTTCTACAGTAAAAGTATGAAAATACAAGTAATTACTGTAATTTATGTAATTTATGTACAGCAAGGTACCATAATACCACAGCTCTGTACAGCTATATCTCAGTAATTCCATGGGCATGGCAACTGTAAAGTCACAGTATTTAGTTGTACTTTTATTCTAATTTACTGTAAAATATTTACAGTCAATTACTGTGAAATCCATGCAACTAGTAGCCAGTCATTTACTTTAATTTTACAGCCAAACATTTTACAGTGCAGTCAGTTTATAATTTTAGTAGCTCTGTTGATCATTTTGAAACTGTAATTTGCACAAGCCGCTGTGCAAGTAGGGCTGGGCGATTTGGCCTAAAAATCAAATCGCGATTTTTTTTTTCTAACTAATGGACAATTTTCGATTTAAACCTCGATTTTTTTCTGTTTTTTTCTAAACAAACCAGACCAAGGCAACATTTAAATACATATTTTCAAATACAAATAAATGAGATTACCAAGTAGTCTAGGCCTATGTGAACAAATCAGTTGTTCAAGAATAACAATAATAAAATAAAAACAGCACCACGGCACTTGGCTGTCATTAATGTGCAAAGATTTTTTTTAAATCAAACTGGAAAAAAAATCTCTTTTAGGCCATCCCTGAAAAAACTTGTAAAATGAAATACAACAAATAATAAATAATGATGATGAAATGAATAATAAAAAAATACCCTCAAACAAAATAACATCCCTTTAACTTTCTAGGAAGTTGTCTACAGGTTTTTCACGAGGAAGACAAGCCTGTCTACTGCCTCTGGCTTGAGGCATGCTCTTGGCATGTTACAATGTTACCCCCCGTACTGAAAACCCTCTCCGAAGGGTGGCAGGAATGGAGAGATATTTCTTGGCCAGATTACTCAGTCTTGGGAAGTTAGCTTCATGTAGCTTCCACCACTGCAGTGGGTCTGTATCAGGGTCTGTCTCAGACGACAACAAATAGGATGACAGCTCAGCTTCAATTTTGTCCTGCTCTGACTGGGAGGTAGACGACACTGTCAGTAGTGATGTGTGGGTCGCAAACGAGCTGGCTCAAAGAGCCGGCTGTTTTAAGTAAACGACGGGAGCCGGCTCTCGCCTGCGAACGAGCCGTGTTTTTTTTTGTTTTGCGGAGGGATCTAGATCGGAATGAAGGCACATTATGCAATGTGCACATTATCCCGCTTATTACACATGGCCACATTCTCAACAAAGTAACGACATGACTCCTAATATTAATTGAAATGCTTTTATGGATTTAGAAAATGATTTTATTCACTTAAAAAATAGTTTTATGTATTGATTTAAATTGACATGCATCCGCTAAGAAAAGTAGTCCGTTGTTACTGTTTGAACTAACGTAGCAACGGCAGGAACTGCTTCGATAGTGTTTTTGAGGAGCTTTTTGATTACAGATTTGAAAACATCGTTGCTTGCTTTAAAAGTAGCACACTTCATGATGTCAGACCTTGGGAAGTATCTAGATATCCCTGCCCTAATGCCAAAGTAACTGCCAAACTGAATATGTGTCGCCGTTTTTGATGTATATGTCTGGACCGCTGCGTTAAAAAGGAGGGTTTCTGCCCCATTACTTCTCTTCTTACTTCTATAAGAATAAAACACGGAGGACGGAGATCTCTTTTCCTCCCCCTCTACAGACCGCCCAGCAGCTGATCTCAGAGCACGCTCCCCTCTCCTGCAGGGGGGGCGTGGTCAGCTGCAGCTCACAGAATCAGCCCGCTGCAAAAACAGCGCTGGAAAAAGCAAATGGAGCGAAATGAGGCATGGCTAAAATGCAAGATATTTTTGGTATTTTGAAAAAAAAAAAAATGTATATACTTTATATAGGTCGATACAGTAGTCCCTTTTAAAAAAAAATAGTTTGTATAGGTGTTGCTATCTGTTTTGTGTAGCGTGGTTCTACAAGCAAGTCAATGCATCCATTGGGTGGTATCAGAGATTTACACGGGTCTGTAAATGCAATGAAAACAATTGGCCACAGCAAATCATTTATATTAAACTTTATTTACTTTATTTACTCTTGAATACTTCAGTACAAAGGATGTATTGAATAATTTAAGTGATATATGTGTACACAGAGCTGCAGATCGGGTAGTCACAGGCAATGTGTCTGAGTTTTGTGCGCGTTCTGGAAAGTGATGAGAGTAAGCTACTACGGAGTCCCTTAAGGCAAAACAAATCTGCGGAGTCTAGAAATGTTTTTAAATCGCGATTTTTCGGTTCAGCCATTTCAAAAACCGTAGGAAAGTAAAAATGCAAATTAATCGTTAAAACCGAAAAAATCACCCAGCCCTATGTGCAAGGCTTTGTATTTCTATCTTTATAGCCAGAGGTGTAAAGTCACTAAGTACTAGAGATGCTCCGATCAGCCGCCGATCATTATCGGCCGATATTCACTCTTAATAGCTTGATCAGTGCTCTCTATAAAGGCCGATCAGGAGAGCCGATCAGATGATGCAAAATACATGAGACTTTTCTCTGTGCGCTGCAAAAGAAGCTCACCAAAATGGCTTTACCGGTCTCGCAGTTTTTCGAGGTGTCCGGAAAAGACAATAAAATTAGCTATATGCGACGTGTGTGAAGCAGAAAGAGAGAGATCAGAGATCAGGATCAGCTGCTGCTGACGGAGACACGCAGCTCTGCATGATCACCTGCAGCTCCACCCGCTGTGACGGACCGGTGAGCGGAGCAAAACTCAAGCCAGTTAAAGGAAAATCCTTGTATTTGGAGGAAACACTATGTGATTTATAGACTGACAAATTCTATATTGCCCATTTAAACACCTTTGTACGTCAACAGGACACTGTCTTTGAAGAACTGTTGAACAGGTTGCGTACAAGAGCTAAGAACACGCCGCTTTTTGCTATCTTGAAAAAGTGTGAAACCGGGGAAAGCTCTTCAGCGTTGCATATTATTGCAACAAATGCACAAGTTAATGAGCATAATATTATACAGCTGTCAGCATCATGTCCCGAGAACCTTTGTGTGGAGGTACTGGATTATGAAAAAAGTCAACAATCCAACCGTATGGAATTGAAAAGAGGGCACTTCAGAAATGTGTTCAAATCTTATTTACCTGAAAAGTTACTGTTAGGAAAGGGTGCTTGAGTGATGTTGATCAAAAATATTGATGTGTCTGATGGCTTAAACGGAGTCTGTGGGAATGTCGTAGACATTGTCAAGAATATCCACAACACATTTGTGAGCACTGTGTTTGTGAAATTCGATGATGAAAAGGTGGGAACAAACAGAAGGAAGCGTTTACATTCAACTAGTGAAAACCTTTTGGCTACTCCCATAAACAGGGATGAGGAAAAAACATCTAACTCACAGGTTTATCATTGCTTTGAGAAAAAAGATTATTAATTTACCCCTTTTAGAAGTGTAGTTATGGTCATTTGTTCTGGGAATGTCATTTTCGAGCCTGAGACCTGGAAAACAGGCTCTGGGCTTAACAGGTTGAAGATATAAATATATAACTGCACAGTCCAATAATCCCTAATTGTTGACATCATGTGTTTTTAAGTCCTCTCGGATCAACATACGGACATATCGCTAACTGGTTGATGTAGGAAGACGAGCCTTTAGAGAAATTATTATTATTATTATAAGCAGCATTATTATTATTCCTTATTTTTTTATCAGTGTTTGATAGCGATATTCATCAATTTCACTAATCAATCCCCACTTGATCACTCTCAAGGAAATGCATGAACGTGTCCCATATTTCCTTAAATGTACTTACTTTCCTTTTGATCACATACATTAATTTTTCCAAAGCGAGGAAAACAATTTAATTATTACAATTGATTCACTTTTTATTTTATTATTATTATTTATTTTATTGTCAGTTATTTTATTTTTTTCTGGTCTTGTCAGCTGGTAGGCCTTTGGTTTTTTGCCACTTGGTTGGTTACGTATTAGTAAGTAAAATGTTGTATATTATGCATGGATTGCCAACTCATTTGTACATGTCTTAATCACTCATTGTTAATATCAGTATTTGTGGATGTCATTGTTTGTGCCTGTAAAAAAGGAAAAACTCAATAAAGATATTGTTTAAAAAATAAAAACAATCCCTGTACCTCAGGTTCTCTGACAGTGAGTTCTGCTCTGAGTATCTGAGTGTCCCGTTCTAACAGTGCTCCGGGTTCAGCAGCAGTTAGACCTTCATCCCGGAGCAGCGGAGTTTAGCCGACAGAGCCGACAGGAAGAGTGGAGCACACAGCTCAGGTACCATTAAAAAAAATAACACCCTGCGCGTCATGATGGCGGAGAACAGCTCTCAGATTACTTGGGGTCCCTGGACCCGGATTATTTATGGGTTCAAGTTATTAATGTACATAAATTAGGTTCAATTACAAACTGAACACATGAGATCTCCCGCAGTGAACTGACCTGAGAGTCTCCAGTCTGCAATCTGGACTCTCCAGAAGATCTCTCAGCAGCTTCACTCCTGAATCCTTCAGAGCGTTGTAACTCAGGTCCAGATCTCTCAGATGGGAGGAGTTGGACTTCAGAGCTGAGACCAGAGCAGAACAGCTGATCTCTGACAAACTGCAGCTCTCCAGTCTGAATGAAGACAACATGATTAGGATTAACATCTGTTTATATTCAGATGGGTTACTCAACATTGAAATGAATGAACAAAAAAACATGTCTCCCTCAGCAAGTAAACTTTATCATGTAAAACTAATATTACTTCAGATTACCTTTATTCAGACGTTCTCGTTTACTTGATATTAAAAACATGGATTTACTTTTTACAAATAAAAGCTATTACAGTTCCTTTAGGAAACAGTCAATATTTATGTCTGCAGTTCTTCATTTAGTACGTGAAAATGAAAATGTGAATAAAAGGACATTTACTACTTTATGGATGAAACTTATTAATGTACATATATTTGGTTCAATTACAAACTGATCATGTGAGATCTCCAGCAGTAACAGAGAGTTAGTGAACTGACCTGAGTGTCTCCAGTCTGCAGTCTGGACTCTCCAGAAGATCTCTCAGCAGCTTCACTCCTGAATCCTGCAGATCGTTGTTACTCAGGTCTAGATCTCTCAGGTGGGAGGGGTTGGACTTCAGAGCTGAGACCAGAGCAGCACAGCTAATCTCTGACAACCTGCAGCTCTCCAGTCTGAATAAAGAAAACATGATGAGGATAAACATTTTTTATAATCCGGTCAGATGTTCAGGTCTGAAATGTGTAGCTCATCATTATCAGCCTTCTGTTTATTATCTGTGAAAAAACACGTCTAAATGATGGGAACATAAACATTTCTATGTCAGAAAGTAAACTTTATGTAAAAATAATATTAGTTCAGAGGACCTTCTTTATTCAGACCATTTACTAAAGATTGAAAACATACATTTACTTTAACGACTAACAGTGGAAGAATAATAGTTTCTTTAGGAAACAATCAACTGTTATGATGAATGCAGACTACATTTAGGAAATTACAAATATGAACAAAACATTTACAAAAGTATGGATGTAATATATTTATGTACAAGGATCAGGTTGAATAACTAAGGCAAGGCAAGGCAAGGCAAGTTTATTTATATAGCACAAGGCAATTCAAAGTGCTTTACAAAAAATGAAAGAGATTAAGAAAATGGCATTTAAAATCAGTCATTAAAAAGAAAAGCTAATAAAATAAACATTAAAAGAAAAAATACATGGATAAAAGTTACAGTGCAGTCTAAGATATGAATAGTTCAATTAAAAGCAGCGACAAAAAGAAAAGTCTTCAGCCTGGATTTAAAAGTAGTCAGAGTTGCAGCGGACCTGCAGGTTTCTGGGAGTTTGTTCCAGATATTTGGAGCATAATAACTGAACGCTGCTTCTACCATGTTTAGTTCTGACTCTGGGGACAGAAAGCTGACCAGTCCCAGAAGACCTGAGAGATCTGGATGGTTCATAATTTAGCAGGAGGTCAGTAATGTATTTTGGGCCTAAACCATTCAGTGCTTTATAAACCAGTAGCAATATTTTTGAAATCTATTCTTTGACACACATGAAGCCAGTGTAAAGACTTCAGAACAGGAGTGATGTGATCCACTTTCTTAGTGTTAGTGAGGACTCGAGCAGCGGCGTTCTGAATCAGCTGCAGCTTCCTAATAGATTTTTTAGTGAGACCTGTGAAGACACCATTGCAGTAGTCGAGTCTACTGAAGATAAAAGCATGGACAAGTTTTTCCAAATCCTGCTGTGACATTAGTCTTTTAATCCTAGATATGTTCTTTAGGTGATAGTAGGCTGATTTAGTAACTGTTTTAATGTTACTGTTGAAACTCAGGTCAGAGTCCATGACTACACCTAGATTTCTGGCTTTATCTGTTGTTTTGAACATTGCACACTGAAGCTCAGCGCTAACTTTGATACGTTCTGACTTGGCTCCAAAAACCATTACCTCAGTTTTATCTTTGTTTAATTGGAGAAAGTTCTGACACATCCAGTCATTGATTTGTTCAATGCACTTACTCAGTGTTTGAATTGGAGCATAGTCTCCTGGTGAAATTGTTACGTACATGTGTGTGTCATCTGCATAGCTATGGTAACTTATTTTGTAGTTTTTCATTATCTGAGCCAGTGGTAGCATGTAGATGTTAAAGAGAAGAGGCCCCAAGATGGAGCCTTGAGGAACCCCACATGTCATATTTGTCAACTCAGATGTGTATTTACCTATAGAAACAAAGTTGTTTCTGTCCTTTAAGCAGGATTCAAACCAATTTAGAACTGTTTCCAAAAGTCCCACCCAGTTTTCCAGTCGGTCTAGTAATATGTTGTGGTCAACAGTGTCAAACGCAGCACTGAGATCTAATAATACTAACACTGAAGTTCTGCCACTGTCTGTGTTTAAGTGGATGTCATTAAAGACCTTTACAAGAGCAGTCTCAGTGCTGTGATTTGGACGAAAGCCTGACTGGAACACATCCAAACAGTTATTTAAATGCAAGAAATTACTCAACTGTTGAAAAACAACTTTTTCATAAAGTTATAAAGTTATAAGTTATAAAAATTATAAAGGCCAAGTCTCTCTTTATAGATTTCAAAGTGAACCTGGAGATTTGTTTTTCGCCACCTGCGTTCAGCTTTTCGACACTCTCTTTTTTCTGTTTTCACGCTCATGGCCTTTCTCCATGGAGATATTTTCTTGCCAGACACTTCCTTTACCTTAGTTGGAGCAATGGCATCTATAACATATTTAATTTTTTAATTAAAATTATCTACTAGCTCATTTACTGAGATGTTAGCAGGGGCAAGTGTGGAAGAAAGATTCTGAGTAAACATTTCCCTAGTGTTTTCAGTTAAATATCGCTTTGTGGTTACCTCTTTTTGAACATTTTTGTGAGCAGAAATAGAGCTCTCAAAGAAAACACAGGAATGGTCAGAGAGTGCAACATCAGTCACCACAACCTTAGAGATATTCAGACCCTTTGAGATAATTAAGTCCAGAGTGTGCCCCTTATTGTGCGTGGGCTCCGTCACATGCTGAGTCAGTCCATAGCTATCAAGAACACAAAACAGTTCTTTAGCCCCTCTGTCCTGGGGGTTGTCAACATGGATGTTAAAATCACCAACAATGACTAGACGGTCAAAGTCAATACACACTATAGACAGCAGTTCAGTAAAGTCATCAAAAAAGCTTGCACAGTATTTGGGTGGTCTATAGATATTTAGGAACAGAGCTCGAGAGGAGCATTTCAGCTGAAGGGCCACATATTCAAAAGAATCAAAGTTTCCATAAGATGTCTTCCTGCATTGAAGGGAATCATTGAACAGAATAGCAACTCCACCCCCTTTCTTATGCATTCTTTCCTGACTCATAAAACTAAAGTTGGGAGGGGTTGATTCGATAAGAACAGCTGCACTGTTATTTTGTTCAATCCAAATCGAGATTGTGCTCAGTGATAAAATCATTGATTAAAAATGTTTTTCCTGCCAAAGACCTGACATTTAATAAAGCTAGTTTAAGTTTGTTAAACACACTATCAGTCATGTTTTTTGTAACAAGCTGTGGCTGACATGGAATCAATGCTAAATTAGATAAACTCACACAACGTTTGAGCGCTTCCTGTTTCTAAGATGATTCACCGCTCTTAATCTATTACCTATCAACACAGATATCGGCAAAGCTACTGGCAGGCAGGGCCCCGACATGTCCTGGAAAGAGTTGAGAGTGCCATACGCCCTTGAGCCTGGACCCAGCACATATCAGTAAGGGGGGGAGGTGGTTGACGTAGGCGCGGTGATGAAGACGGGGGAGATGGTGCGCGTCTCTGTGGTGATTTTGGTGGGCGTTGAGGAGCGGGGGTAAAGGACATGCCAGCGTTTTGTACACACACATCCCTATCAGGCTTTGAAGGGGAGGGAGGACCCACCACCCTGCTCCTCTCATCATAGGAAGGCAGGGTGAGGGCTACACTGTAGGAAGGGGGGGTTTGGAAATCTGCTTCCATCTTCCTTGTATTGTTGTGGTTTTGATGATTGTGGTAGGCATGGTGATGAAGCCGGGGGAGATGGTGCGCATCTCTGCTTCGGTGATTTTGGTGGGCGTCGTTGAGGGGCGGGGGTAAAGGACATGCTGCCAACCCTGCGTGTCGCCGTCATGCGGTCATTGAACTCCAGGGGGGTGGGCGAGGGTGAGAGGGTGAGCGGAGAGTAGAGAGAGCTGGGGGATGAATGAAGAGTATGCTCAAAGGCGTTGACAGGGAGGGTGACGGGCAGTGGAGACTCCTCCATGTGTCTCATAGGTCTCCCATAATCAGAACATTCCTCAGGCGGGTGCAGTGATACTTCTTCAGGGTTTTCTGCACGATGTGTTGTGTCTTTCTCCTGTTTTGATTCCTCTTGCCGCTTGTCCTTGGCAGAGGGAACAGATTGATGACGCAGGCAGTTGAATATGTTAGAGATAAACAATTTCACTCCTGACTTGTTCAGACAAACTCCATTTGCCTGAACAGAATGGTCAGTACAGACAGTTGAAAGCCAGGTGTTCAGTGCAAACAATCTGCTGAATCTCTCCACTCCTCTTCTGACTGGCGGTAGAGGGCCACTGATGAACACCTCTGCATTTAGAGAGCTGACAGTTTCCAACAAACATTTAAAGTCTTCTTTCAGCACTTCTGACTGTTGTTTCACAACATCATTTGTTCCAATGTGCAGTACCACATTTTTTACATTCTGATGTTCAGCCCCAATATGCAGGATCTTCTCAGCCAAGTCAGAGACCACATCCTTGGGAAAACAGAGTACTTTGGTGTTGTTCTTACTACACAGACCTTTTACATCTCTTAAAGCAGAGTCACCCACAATCAGAGTTTCAGGCCCAGTCGTTAGCTTTCCCTCTGGCCTTTTACTTTTTTTAACTAAGGAAACACATGAGATCTCCAGCAGTAACAGAGAGTCAGTGAACTGACCTGAGAGTCTTCAGTCTGCAGTCTGGACTCTCCAGAAGATCTCTCAGCAGCTTCACTCCTGAATCCTGCAGATCGTTGTCACTCAGGTCCAGATCTCTCAGATAGGAGGGGTTGGACTTCAGAGCTGAGATCAGAGCAGCACAGCTGATCTCTGACAAACTGCAGCTCTCCAGTCTGAATAAAAAAAACATGATGAAACTTTAGAAAACAATGTTCCTGTTTGAAATAACTCCAGGTTTAATAATCTGATCAGAGTTAAACAGGGTTTTAATGTCAGCAATGACGTAGAAACAATCCATTGATAATCTGGAACTTTGATCAGATCTTTAACAACTCCTTCATCTCTCTCACAGCTCATCAGCACTGACAGCATCTTCACTGACTCATGGAGCACAGTGTGAGTCTGTGGAAGCTCAAACACTCCCTCACACATTCCCCATCTCTTTGTTATTCTGATGAATAATCAGTCATTAGCTAAAGTGAAAAAAATAATTAAAATGTCTTTGTTCTCAGGCAAATTCAGAAAATCATAAACACAAACAGATCTATGTGAAGTTCAGTCAGTGAACTGACCTGAGAGTCTCCAGTCTGCAGTTTGGACTCTTTAGTCCAGAACTCAGCAGCTCCACTCCTGAATCCTGCAGATCGTTGTGACTCAGGTCCAGATCTCTCAGATGGGAGGGGTCGGACTTCAGAGCTGAGGCCACAACTTCACAGTGAGTCTCTGAGAGTCCACAGAGAGTAAGCCTATAATAACACATATTACAACATGTGTTAACACTAGAACTGCCAACGGGTACATTTTACCCGCAGCTGTTTCTTGATTGTATGGAACTTTCTTTCAATAAAATATTCAAGTCTCCCAGTCCTGAAAGGGTGTTATGTAGCACCCTCTGTTGTTAAAAATTGTCAATATGAAGTCAGATTGAAAAAATGGCCAAAACAATGGCCATTTATACCCATCAGCGCCAAAAGGTAATATTTACCTTATAGAAAATGCAGTGATTCTCGTGCTATTGATCTCGCTCGTAAAAATAAACATGACGTGTTGCTATAGCAACGTCTGTTGTTTACTGTGGTTCCTTATAGATAGATAGATAGATAGATAGATCTGATAGACTGTAAATCCTGCAGTGTGGTGTGATCACATGCTGAGAAACCTCTAAAGTCCTTCATGTGTTTGACATGTCGGCTACATCACTCAAAGGAGTATCAAGAGAGAAACGGTACAATTTAACTACTATTATAAATAAATACAAGAACAGTGTTGGTTTTATTTTGCTCTCTCAGTATTTGAAACAGCAGAAATGTTATAGTGTGTATTTGAATAATTAAACTTCTGATCCACATTAGTTTATAAAGTTAATCACATCTGGACTTACACAGCCTTCCTGCAGTTCCTCACAGCTGGAATCAGTCTCTGTCGTCCCTCGGCTGATGTGTTGTAGTTAGTCAGGTCAAACTCATCCAGAACATGCTCTGACATCTGCAGCATGTAAGCCAAAGCTGAGCAGTGGATCACAGAGAGTTTCTTCTGTGAGCCGTTCTCTGACTTCAGGAACTCTGTGATCTCCTGATGTACTGAGTGGTCCTTCATCTCTGTCAGACAGTGGAAGATGTTGATGCTCCTGTCTGGAGAGAATGTATCACTTCTCAACTTCTTCAGGTTGTTGATGGCTCTCTGGATGATTTCTGGTCGGTTGTCTGTGCGACCCAGCAGGCCTCCTAACAGTCTCTGGTTGGACTCCAGAGAGAGGCCGTGGAGAAAGCGGACAAACAGGTCCAGGTGGCCATTTCTACTTCTGAGGGATTTCGCCATGGCTCCTTTTAGAAAGACATCCAGCGATTGGTAATCTTGATCACTGTTTTTACTGTTCTTATAGGGCCAGTCTCTCTTCAGGAAGTCCTTCAGTACCGCTGTGTCTCTGTTGGTGTAACAGTGCAATATGTAGACTGCAGCCAGAAACTCCTGAATGCTCAGATGAACAAAGCAGTAGACCGTTTTCTGGAAGATCACACTCTCTCTTTTGAAGATCTGTGTACAAACTCCTGAGTGCACCAAGGCCTCGGTGGCATCAAGACCACAGCGCTGTAGGTCTTCTTGGTAGAACATGATGTTTCCTTTCTCCAGGTGTTCAAACGCCAGCCTCCCCAGCTTCAGAATAACCTTCCTGTCAGCCTCCGTCAGCTGCTGTGGACTCGTCGCATGTCCCTCTTCATACTTCTGCTTCTTCCTCTTTGTCTGGACCAGCAGGAAGTGTGAGTACATGTCAGTGAGGGTCTTGGGCAGCTCTCCTCTCTGGTCTGTAGTCAACATGTGGTCCAGAACTGCAGCAGTGATCCAGCAGAAGACTGGGATCAGACACATGATGTGGAGGCTCCTGGAGCTCTTGATGTGAGAGATGATTCTGCTGGACAGGTCTTCATCACTCGATCTCCTCCTGAAGTACTCCTCCTTCTGGGCGTCATTGAAGCCTCGTACTTCTGTTACCCTGTCCACACACTCAGGAGGGATCTGATTTGCCGCTGCAGGTCTGGAAGTTATCCAGACGAGAGCCCAGGGAAGCAGCTTCCCCCTGATGAGGTTTGTCAGCAGCACGTTGACTGAGGACTGCTGTGAGACATCATACACAACCTCATTGTTTCTGAAGTCCAGAGAAAGTCTGCTTTCATCCAGGCCGTCAAAGATGAACAGCACTTTACAGACAGCCAGCTGCTCTGCTGTGACCTTCTGTAAGGTTGGATGGAAAACATGGAGCAGCCTGAGAAGACTGTACTGCTCATCTTTGATCAGGTTCAGCTCCCTGAAGGAAAGCAGGATCACCAGACTGACATCTTGGTTTTCCAAACCCTCGGCCCAGTCCAGAGTGAACTTCTGCACTGAGAAGGTTTTTCCAACTCCAGCGACTCCGTTGGTCAGGACCGCTCTGATGTGAGTCTGTTGGTCAGGTAAGGCTTTAAAGATATCCTGGCACTTGATTGGAGTTTCATGGAGGGTCTTCTTCTTGGAAGCTGTCTCAAGCTGCCACACCTCATGTTGGGTATTAACCTCTTCACTCTGTCCTTGTGTGATGTAGAGCTCAGTGAAGATGCTGTTGAGGAGGGTTTCACTTTTATCAGTTCCTTCAGTCACACGTTCACATCTCCTCCTCAGACTGAGCCTATGTTCATCTAAAACCTTCTGAAGACCACTATCTGCTGAAAGAGAAGGAAACAGGGGAGAATAAGAACAATTATTTTTGAGAAAGTTGTATTATAACAAGAAAGAGACAGTTAAAAAAGTTAAAACAACTTGATGTCTATGCATTACAACAGTATACCTAATCAAAAATAAATCAGGAAGAATCCTGGAAATGAACACAAGAATCCCATCACCTGATATATTTACTATTTTCTGTAGAATTTCTTTGCAGGGCTAACGTTCCCCTTAAAGGGGACCTATTATGCAAAATTCACTTTTTGATGTCTTTTACGGAGCTTACACACGGCGGCGTACGTTGAAGCTTGCCGGCGGGCGTGTCTGACGCTCGACCAACAACCAATCACATGAATCTCCCGCCCCGGACACACAAGTACGCGGTTTAATTGGCTAGAGCTTGTACTGGCATATGATTCGATTGGCTGACACTTCCGTCGAAGCTTCAAAAGTAGAACATTGCTCTACTTTTGAAGCGAGCAAAGCTACGCTTTGCTCCCACAATGCAATTTGGCAAGGCGTGACGTCACCCCATTCAAAGTGAATGGGCAGAAGCGCTGAAGCTTATACATAAATATGTGTCCCCGGTGTGTAAGGAGACTCACAAAGTGTCAGAAAATACAACCCTCTCTCTTTTCCTCCTTACCCACTTATCTCTAAAAAAAAAACGGCGGTGCAAACGAGCAGATCCAGGATTTGGTTCCTATCACGTCATTGGTGAAATGTGGCACACGTGACATGTCCCAACCTATCGTCTCCGTATACACGTGACACGTCCCAACCTATCGTCTCCTATACAGTCAGCTGAATCCCCTCAGCTGTGTGTCTGTGTATTCAGCAGGATGTCTCCAGGAGGCACTTAGAGTAAAGTTGTTATATAATACATATAATGGCACTGTTCTAGCGGTAAACACTTAAAGAGCTTACAAAATGCTATTAGCACCTGTTAGTGGGCTTGGTATATGATAGAGGTTGCATTTGTATTGTGAAATGTGCCATATACATGTTTTATTATTGATGTATTTTTAATAACTCACGATTATAACAGCATACAAAAGTTGTCAGTTAGTAACAATCGTTCGTCGCGCCGGAAACATCAACTTCGGTCATTTCCGGCGGTGGCGTCATGAGTAGAACACAGCTGAGCTCAGTCCCGTTTGAATGCATTGAAGGGCCAAATATTATGACAAAGGATGCACAGCAATAAGACGCCAAGAATAATCGGCAAGCGATTGTGGGGCCGTCTCAACATCTGGCTATGGGATGTTTTTGTGGCCAAAAAATTATAAAATGTTGCGTATATGGACAAAACAAGTGCGTCGTACGAGGGCAGACTTTTGCTGGACCAGGTAACCCGGGGTCGATGAAACCGACGATGTGTAGGCAGCACTTCGAGATATCGTGTTTCGAACAATCAACAATGCTCACTAAGGAGAGAGAGTAAAAGCTTTCTCGAAGGTTAGTTTTGCTTTCTTACAACGTTACGTTAATGTTAACTTAACCTTAAGTTTGCCATGAAGCTATTGTTACTTCCTTTAACAAGAGCTAGCTGTCTTGGCTAACAACAGTTAGCAGCAAATGTTTTCTGCAGTTTGTTTTTCCACTGAAAAAAGGGATTTAGTTATTTAAGGGTAACTAAACGTTATCTTACAAGTAGAGAGAGTTAAGTTTTGTTTAAGATCATCAATGTAATGCACCTTAGAGGTTTTGTGTTGAACATGAAGTTAGCTAACTGTAGCTCACTGTTAATGTTAAGCTGTACTTTCTGTGGCAGCTCGCTTAATACAAAGAGGGTGCTTGATTGTAAACTTTTCTTACAAATTCTTGAAATTTCTTAAAATTGTAAGGACAGTTTATTTCTACTCAACTATACAGACCATTGTTGAGGAGATGCAAAACATACTGTAAATGAATTGGGTCCGACATATACTTTGAGTAATGTTACTTTGCTGCTAAAAAATGAAACATAATCAGATGAGGACATCACCAAAGTGTGTGAGTCTGTCAGGGGATTTGATCTGTTCTCTGCATGTCGTACGATATGTACACACTGCTCTGGTATGAATTAAAAATATAATTGTTAAATGTAAGTCTCTCACTCTTGTCATCGTTCAGGCTTTGCATTTGAACTCCTATGACTGGTTGCGGACTTGAAGGGAACGACTTCCTAGCCTTCCTGACATCCAGGAAAAATTCTAATCCATTTAATGCCAAAAGCAAGTTATTGTTTTAAACTTTTTGAATATGATTTTTTGGGGAATTTCAGTTTTATTGGATAGTAGAGATCTACTGAAAACAGTGGAGAGGGAGGAGATGATATGCAGCAAAAGGCCCAGCCCGATGGTTGCTGCTCCGTGTGGAACGTGTTCTATCAGGTAAAGCACTTTGGTACCCAGTTATTTATGGTATTGAGTTTGAATTTAGCCTTTGCAATGTAATTTCCAACAGTGCACTGTAAAGACTGAAAAAACAGGCTCAGGTTAAAGCTTGACATGATTTGGTCTTATACTTAAGAGGATGTTTGTCCTCCTGTGTTGTCTTATTTCCTTATCTTTCTTTCAGGTGTAACATCTGCCAAGGGTTGTACATGACATAGACCTCCTCCACCTCTTTGCTGTCCTACTAGTCAACCCTTCTGATCAGAGCCTTTTCTAAATAGTGGTACGTTGTTTTACAGTTCAGTGTACGTTAATTTAGCAACTTGGTTTCTTTACTGCTGTTGAATAAAACCTATATTGCTAGTGATTTTATTAAAACTATGATTTGCAATCTTTTTGATTCCAATTACAATCATCTTTTTGTTATAATTGTAAAACACATCTTAACATCCATCAGCAATCAATAAAACAAATCATCGAACACAAAATAGAAGAAGTCTGGACCCATTTCTTCTTTTACAACAGCATCTATTGGGACTGCTCATTGATGTCACCAAGAGCCATTGCAGGGATGCAAACTCATCAGGTATGAAAAAGGTGACAAGGATCCGAGCCCCGACCCCACGGAATATCGGCTTTAAAATTAAGAATAACAGAGGATTTTAGCAGTCAGAACAACTAAAGCAGCAGGTAATAATAACAGAAACGCCAAAGAGTCACATCTAATAGAAACATATAAAAGTCAGTTTATAATTTTGGCAGGACTGTTGAGCATTTTGAAAATGTATTTTCATGCCTCTGTGCAAGGCTTAGTCTTTCTATCTTTATAGCCACTGGTGTAACTAAGTTCATAAACTCAACAAGTACTATACTTGGGTACAATTTTGAGATACTTGTACTTTATTTAAGTATTTCAATGTTTTGCTACTTTTTTCTTCTTTTCCTCTACAGTTCAGAGGTAAATGGTGTACTTTTACTCCACTACATGTATTTAATAGCTTTAGTTTATTTACAGATGTGGATGAATGATGTGAGATATAATCAAGTGTTAAATCAGACTTTAGTTCCACCTGGAGTAAATTCACAAGCTACCCTGCAGTATACAAAGTCATTCAAACTAGCTGCACCTTTACCAGCTTTGAGAACACTTTCATGATCAATCATTATAAAACATATCATATATTATTCTGGAATGGACCAATCTGCACAATGACTACTTTTACTGTCGCTACTTTCACTATATTTTGATGATAATACTTTTCTACTTTTACTTGAGGAACATTTTGATTGCAGGATTGTTCCTATAGTATTTCTACTTTTACTCAAGTACAGTACAAGATCTGAGTACTTCTACTTTTACTCAACTACAATACCTGAGTACTTCTACTTTTACTCAAGTACAAGATCTGAGTACTTCTACTTTTATTCAAGTACAAGATCTAAATACTTCTACATTCACTCAAGTACAAGATCTGAGTACTTCTACTTTTACTCTAGTACAAGATCTGAGTGCTTCTACTTTAACTCAAGTACAAGATCTATAGGCCTACTTATACCACATCTGTTTATAGCCTATGAAACTATTAGAAAACGAAGGCTAAAGCTAACGTTAGCAGATAGTGACAATGTATGCTAGTTAGCTAGCTCAACGATAATATTGGGACAGAAAAACTTTTCAGTGCACATCACGCTCTGCCGCTCCGACAGGGGCCTTATTATACATCGATGAGCAGAGCCGACAGGCAGGAAGACTCGAGCACACAGCTCGCGCTTCATTATAATATGTAAACACCATGCGTGTCATGATGACACATAACAGCTCGCGGCCGCAGATTACTCTGGGTCCCAGACCCCCCCCATACCCCAAAAATATTTTATTGCAGATCTACATGAATTACACACACGATATATTTTGGATTCAAAACGGCAAATTTCGCCGAAAGGTGACAAGTTTGCATCCCTGCATTGAGTCTAGCTTTTGCAGTCGGCCTCTTAGAATGTTTATAATTTCTTTGTCTCTTAACATTCCTATAATAATTTGTTTTTCGATTGTTGGTATTGTTTTGTTCTTTATTTTTGTTGTGAGAATCACTTTGCAATTGTGTAAGTGCTATATAAATAGTTATACTAATATTATTGTTGTTACTATTATTAATAATGTTTTCTTTGTTTTCTTTATTTTCTTTATTCATCGTTGCAGAAAGCATCATGCCAGCCCACATCAAACACCTGATCAATAACTTGTGAATCTTCAGGGAGAAAAGATGAAAACACCTGTTCAAAGTTCCAGTTCCCTGTACATGGAACCATGGCCGTATCTACCATTGAGGTCACCGAGGTCCGGACCTCGGTAATATTTTCCGAGCTGTGTATATAACAAAACTTGTGAAATAATTACACTAAACGGGGTTCTTTGTAGTACTTCCATTTACTGACCATGGGGGCGCTGCATAACTACGTAGCCTCGATTAAAGCAAACAGAAGAAGACGACATGTATCAACAAACCACCGCAGCCCGGACTTGTACCGGAGCAGCGGAGGAGTGATGAGGTATCTAGAGATCTGAGTCCAGTGGGCTGCTTGTGTTTCTGTTCATCAGGACATCATATGAGCAGCAGATCCTG